CCCCCCCCCCCAACCCCAAGACTCACCAGCTCTTGTGGTGGCCTTGGGGCTTCAGGGGGCTCATAGAAGAGCCCCTCATGTGACGCAGGGCAACAGGGATTTCCCCCCCTGCAGGGCAGGAACTGGTGAGCCCAGGGTTTCTTGGGGTTTTTTTCTCCTTAAAGGGCCAGAGCTGGCGTGGGTGGGTGGGTAGCCATGGGGGGGGCTGGGAGAGTGGGCGGAGGTTGGGGGGCTCATGCCGAGCCCCCCATGCAGCGTGAGGCAGTGGGGGGTAGCGGGGATCGCTCCCTTGCCCAGCAGGACCCAGTGAGTCAGGTCTTTTTTTTTCAAAGAGCCAGGGGCTGGGGTGGGCAGGGCAGCCATTGCCAAGCTAGGAGAGCAGGTGGGGGATGGGCCTGGGTGATTCAGAGATTCGGCTGATTCGGCAGCAGCCAAATCTCCGAATCAGATTTGACCAAATCAATTCGGGACAGTGATTCGAATCACCAAATCGAATCACTGATCCCCGAATCAGCCAAATCTGAATCCAAAGTGAATCCTAGCCGCTTTGCACAGGCCTAATTCCCATACTTATTTTCCCACTTATGCCTTCTCCCCTCTGGGATTCCCATTTCCCCTCCTTTTGTACCCATGTGCCTCTTGGATTCTCTCACAAACATGCTGGGGCCATGCTCTTTCTGGGATCCTTCTTCTCCCCACGTCTGGGGCTAAATTATCTAGGATTTTCAATTCTCTTATTCTCGTCTTGCCTAGGACTTGATCATAGAGTGCTCATAGAAATGTCTGCTGTTCACTTCTGTGTGATAACTTGTGTGGTGAAGAGCGGCGTTTATGGCAAGGTTGAGTCATTGCCTTCATGTGCAGAGGCATGATGCCTAGTTCAGTACAAAATTGAGTATGAAAACAAGTGTCATTGGTGAGATTTATAGAAAACATTAAATGAAAATGTTATTTGATTTGAAACATTTCCCTCCAGTGCTATCAACTCAAATGCTGGAGCCTTGGAATAATGAAAGGGGACCTGGAATTGAGGCTGATTAAGGTTTATTGTTCAAGCTGAGAGAACATTAAAAGATGAACAAATAGGATCAACAGGGAAAACTATATTGAAATGTTTGGGTTTTTTTATGTTAGCTGTTGTTAGTAAAATAGTGAATAGGTTTCAAATATCATTGTTATCCTGTGTCTCTTTAAGCAACTACCTCTGGTATCCATATTAAGGAAAACCCCTGTGGTTGAGAGGGACAAGGTAGAATTACATCTAAATAAATGTGCCTGGCAGAGTTTTCTTATGAAATGGGTGGTCTTGCCTTAATCCACAGTATTCAGCATGGTCTCGTGTCTTCACATCTACAAAATAACAGACCTGCCTCAGGGAACACTTCAATTCTACCACCTTCTAAATAAGCCCAACTCTTCTTTCTCTCCCCAGGAAGAAAACAGGCCAGTTGGTGGATTTTCTCTCCGCAGCTGCCTTGTCTCAGCCCTGGAGGACAATGGAGTCCCAACGGGTATGCATGAACTTGTACTTACAAACTTGCACTAAAATTGTAGAATCTGTTTTCATTCACACGTTCCATTACTTGGTGCAAACAGACCAGCCTGGGACTCAAATGCCAAGCAGGGGAAGCAGCAGAGCACTGAAGGTGACACATCTGTCTCCTGCCACTGGACTCATGTCTGAGAACATTTTAGGGCTACTTTTTGTATAAACCACAAATTTCCATTTGCTTATTTTGGGTTTTTCAGTCAGTTCTGAGTGACTAATAGTAATAGAATAGGGCGCTGGTTGAGATTCCAGATGTAGCAGTAAAGTGGGGAATTCTTTGTTGCTGGGTAATGCTGATACCACTATCTAGAGGCATTTCTTGTCCCCCGTGCTCTTTTTTTCAATTTGCTTCAGTTGCTTCCTCTCCTATATCTTTCAACCTTCCAAGGTCCAGATCTAGTGGACTTAAAATATAACAGTGAAAAAGCAGTCACTTATGGAAAATCAATCTGTTTAACTTAAAAACATTGTCTGGGACCCCAGCTGTGTGATTCAACATTTCTTCTGTCAAAATCATTTATCATATGAAAGTAAACTAGCACACGATGTATGTAGGACAGAGCTAAATGTGGATCTTGAATGGGAAGCATTCTTCCTAGTGTAAAATACTCAAGAAGGGTGATTCCTCTTCCTTCCTAACTAAAAAACTACCCAATAACAGAGATCCTAAAAATTAAAGCTGTGATGGGCTGGGGAGGAAGGAACTATTATCCCATGAAAATGGGGCTTGAAGATGAGCAGGAGCAGGCAGGAGCTCAAATCTAATCTATTGTGGAGTTTTTGCCATATCTGACCTCAACGAAAATATTTAGCATGCAGATAGCACTTCACAGCACATAACATTAACTAGTTAGTCCTACCCTTGCCAGGTTGTTCTGTTTTTTACTATCCCCATTTTACAGACAGAGGGTGTGTCTACACGAGATGCTTACATTGCTGTAGCGATGAGCTAGGGTGGCGTAGCATGAGCAGGCACCGACTGTGATGCTGCTGTTGCTGCGCAGTAGCAATGAGCTACTGTGCAGTAGCTTGTTGCTACTGTGCAGTAGGCTTGAAAACACCCCAGGCCCCACTGGGACTGTGCAGTACCCACTGGTACTGTACAGTCATTTAGTACTTTCTAAAGCAAGTACTAAATGATTGTGCAATACCAACTGTTCATTCAGGAAACGTATAGATGTGCCCAGCAAGACTAAGGCACAGAGGGATTAAATGGCTTATGCAAAGTCTCACAGCAAAATTTCACAGAAGAATCTACTAGCTTTTAGTTAGTACATTTAAATTCCTCCCTCAATGAAAATTCACACCTGCTGCAAACCAGTTCTCCATGTACTCTCCACTAACATATTGCTTGCTTTCTGTGCAGGAGTGAAAGGGAATGTGCAAGGCAACCTCTTCAAAATAATCACCAAGAATGACATTCATTACTACATCAAAGCCAGCTCCAAAGCAGAGCGAACACAGTGGATTGAGGCCATCAAGCGACTGACATGAACCAAGTGGACTCTCCATACTATATGGAGAACGGGTGAATGAGTTGCATTCAACAGTAAATTTGCTGCTGTCTTCACCTGGGAGCATTATTCAATCTTGGATGGTTTCTTATTATTTATTATTTGTATGACTATAACATCTTGGAGACCCAGGCTTGAAGCAGGTGCTGGGTACTGTACAGACAGAACAAGATTGTCCTTGCCCGACAGAGCTTACAATCTAAGTTAAGGGAAAGAAATGACAGATGGATATGAACAGATATGAGTGTATGAAGAGACAATATTATGAGATGAAAGAATGAATCCTGTCATCTGAATAGTCACCCTGTATCTGGCAGATCTATATTGTGCTCCACCTCAAAGCAGAAAAGCCTTATTGGTTCTCCTTTGCTATGAGACTTGTAAATTGCAGTAGTTGGTGCTTACTGCGCTGAATGACAAAAGCAAGGCCTGTGGGTTGACCAGAGCCAACACAAGCTCTGGGCTCCAAGGCCACCTCCCTTAAGATAACATTAAGTAGTCTTATTCTGAGTGCACTTTGATCAACACACTGGAATAAACTAAAGGTTCAGTTATCAATCTGTACCAGTATTCAGTTTCTTACTAGGCTGGAAAAGATCCAACGTTCCTTTAATCCAGGGGTGGGCACAATATGGCCCGTGGGCTAGATCTGGCCCACCAAGGGATTCTATCTGGCCCATGGTGGGTCCCTCAGCCCCACCCAACTTGGGCATGGTGGGCAGCCTCAGCCATTGTGCATGCAGCTGGTCCCACCGCCTCCAGGCGCACAGTGGGGCGGGGACAAGGGTGGCACAGTGCCCAGACTTGGCTTCCTGGCAATCCCCATGGTGGTGGCTCACTTTGCCCAGCTTCCACTGCCAATATCTCTGCTGCCGCTGGATGCAGCCCCACTGCCTGAGCGCCTCAGGCCCATCCCCCCCACACCCACTGATGGGGTCACTGGACAGAGCAGTCAGGCAGGCAGGAAGGGTCTCCATGGAGACTGGCCCGGGACCCCCACAAACAGGGCGTGCTTGCCCAGGTGGATGGGATGGGATGGGATAGGATGGGATGGGGCAGTGAGTGTGCAGGGAGTGGCATCCGGGATGGGCAGGCAGGGCCAGGATCAAGAGGTGGTGGCAGCACGGGGCTGGGGCCCAAGGCAGAGCTGTGATCCACTCCCTGATTGTGGCTCTGCCCCAGGCCCCAGCCCCACGCTGTCACCCTACTGTGATCCCGACTTCACTTGCCGTCCTGCTCCTGGATGCTGGTCCCCATCCCCCTAGTACCCCATCCCATCTGCCCGGCTGAGTGCACCATGCCCGTGGGAGTCCTGGGCTGGTCTTCATGGAGACTCTGCCCACTCACTCTGTCCATCGCCCCTGGCAGTGGGTGTGTGGTACACAGCTCCCTCCACACTGCGACGGGCTGGGTCAGCACTCCGCCAGCTCACAACAGCTTACCAAGCTCCTTAAGTGGCCCTCCAGCCCAAATAATTGCCCACCCCTGCTCTAATCCAATATGCAGACTCCAGATATGCTGGATAATCCCATAGTGTCACATGACCATATTGATTGTCATACCCAGTTGGATCAATAGTCCATCTCCTTGGATATCAATATCCTTAACAGTGGCCAGTTCTTCATATTTTAGAAGAAAGAGGGGAGAACTTCAGAACTAATTTATGATAAGGCAGGGCTTTTCCTCCTGGCTTTCACTCTAAATCAGTTTCTGTGCAACACCATTAAGATTGATAACTCTAATAATATTGTACTAGTTAATGTTGTTTCCACTTAGAACCATTAAACTTTACTTTATTTTTCTATTAAACTTGACTCTTGTTTCATTAAATCTAGGAAATCTAGGAAAAGCTTAGTTTTCTTGAGACAGCCTTTTCCTTTCATATGATCTTTCCCAAAGGTCAGATTGGGGTATGTGGAAAATAACAGTACTTCACTTAAGCTACATGTTCAAACTGAAACTTCACCCATAGTTTCTCAACATTGTTGTTATGGAATAATCTCCTATGCACGATTCATAGGACCCTTCATGTGAAGGACTTGCTGAAAGCAGGGAGACTGGCATATTGATGTATGGGGAAAATTTTCAAATGAAAATGAGAGGGATCTTTTGGACTACTTCTCCCTCAGAGCATGCTAGTACCCCTTTTTCATACTGATAATATGCCATCGCTTACAGACTGAAAACGTGTGATTTATGTGAATGATTTAAAAAATACCCAGATAGTCCATTTACTCATTTAGAATATCCCTCTTGGTTTCTGAGTACCAGTAGACATATCCTCTACAGAGCATCCAAAAAAAGATCTATGACCTTCTGTTTTATATCTCTCCTCCAACATCACACAGGAAGTTGATGGCAATACGAGAAACAGAACCTATGATTCTTAAATCCTATTCCAGTACTTTATATAACAGATCATGCTTCCCTGAATAGCACCTTTTTGTCCACCCACTTAATGTATATACTGAGAAAATATCCTCCCTTCATACAGAGGATTTCATCTCCTTCCTATATTGTAAGCACTTCTTATTGGACAAATTAACTTCCTATAGATGCAATTTAGGACAGCAATGCACAGTAGGGGATAGGGAGAGCCAGATGTTTTTGGTTGTTAATGTTAATCAGCATGCCTAGAGGAATTGGGAAAAGATGACAGGGGGGAAGCAGCATCAGAGGGAGAACCCAGAGCATAGGCAGAACCATTGTCAGCAGCAATTTGATATGCTGAAGTATGCCTGCTGCATATGTGATCAGGCTAGTGGAGTTACTCCAGATTTGCACCATGATAACTGAGATCAGCATATGTCCCATTGTCAGCAAAAGGGAGAGTCACAAGAAAAAGAAGTCAGAGGCATGTCAATTGAAAGTCTCTGGGAGGGATTATAGTTCTTTCATAGTTCACAAAGCACAAAATCCATTGTGATTATAATGCATATATATGTATAATCATTATAGCTACATGTTTGGAAGCTTTGCAAAACATACAGGTGCAAATAGTCATCACAACATTAAAGTGGTACAAATATTAATTTAACAAAATAGCTAAAGGGATTTGCAAGTAAGTAGGCATTTTCAGCTGCATATAAGAACAAAGGACATACAGAACAGAACAAAACAGGTGATAGGTTTAGCTATAGGCAGCACTGCAGAGGACCAGTTCAGCTAAGGCTTCTAAACTTGCAGTTACAGAGGATTTGGAATCACAGGGGCAGCCCCAGGAGAAACAGAAATGCTTGTGGAGCAGTTACTACTTCATGGTGTGAAGCACTAGGGGTTTAGTGCTGACAGAGAAGTGTGGTGATGGCTTGAGCTCCCTTGAGTATTAGGCTTGCTCTCCCTCTAACGTGAATCTAGTTCATGTATTTCAGATTCTCTCACTTACGTTGCAGAAAATCATCATCCTCTATACCTTAAGCCCAGCCACAATCACACTCTTCAGTTTTAGACACATGGTTAACGCCCACCTCTACCCTCAGGGTACTGAACCCCTCCAGCTGATAACAGCTTAGAGCTGATGAGGGGAGGGAAGGCTGCATACTGAATCATAAGCCTTTCAGTTTGAGAGGTCAAGTGAATGGCTTTGCATTGGGCCTCAGATTTGTTTGAACGAGCCCTGCCACTGCAGCCCTACAGTCTCTATGAGAAAAAGCAGAAGTTCTGAATTTGTGAACAAAACTAAACCAAACCAAATCAAAGTCCACATTTTAGATCTCAAGAAATACTCAGAAGAGAAGGGAGATCACTTTTCTATCCAACCAGAAGTGCGTCTGTCTTAATCTACTGATAAGATTGGGGTCTTTCTTTCAAGCCACCTTGGTAAGTATGACATCCCCTGAGATGTGTAAAGATGTTATCATGCTCAGGGTCTGAATGCGGTGAGTGAAATCACAGAATTGCCGCCCATCAATCAAGACCCGCATCTGCTGGTGCTCACACAAGAGTTCCATCTGCAAAGAAACAATGGCAAAGTGGACATTAGAAGTCAGCGTCACAGATTTAGCAGCCTAGAACACAGAGTCACAAATGCTCTGGGAAGTGCTGTGCAAAGTCTGTCTAGAACAGGGGTGGGAAAAATGTGGCCCGGGGGCCGGGTGCAGCCTGCCAGGCCATTCTATCTGGCCCACGGGGCCCCTAAAAAGTTTAGAAAATGAATATTTATCTGCCTGGGGCTGCCTGTCATGTGGCCCTCAATGGCTTGCCAAAACTCAGTAAGTGGCCCTCTGCCCAAAATAATTGCCTGCCCCTGGTCTAGAACCTCAGTTTCCCTCCTGCATAGAACGCATTTTACTGCTGCTGAAAAGCCACCGTGTGGTCTTTTGTTTTACAAGTTCTCAGCAAACTGGAGAATTGAGTTGCTCACAAAGGTATTTCTTTTAGTCAACAGGTGTTGGGAGAAGCTTGCATTGCTGCTGTTCCCCTTCCAGTACACTCAAATGGCAGATAAAGGAAAACTGGTATAACTAGGACCATCAATTTGGTAACTTTTGATAATGATAAAATGTGCTGTGATATACTCAGTGAATCCCTCAATCTAGTTTCTCCTCACCCCACCTAAAAAGATTACCTTAAATGTGTCCCCTGCTGTGAATGGGAAGTAGGGAATATTCTTCTCCTCTCTTCCCCATTTCCCAGCAGTCCGTGCATTCCGAGTGATAGACTTATCACTAAAATTGACTGCAAACAACAGCCCGACATCCTTGCTTATATCCACAGGGTCAGAGAGCAGAGTCACTGCAAAGCTGAAGGAACCAAGTAAATGGTCAGGAACAGGATTTCAGGAAACAGTTGGCATGACAGATGTCCATAAGGAGATACTGTATCCACCATTATCATTCAGTGTGCGCTAGGGCCATAGTTTAATGACCTGATGGTTGTAACATTCAAAAACGATCTCTGTGTTTGGATTTTGGAATAAGTGAAGAAGAGCCAACTAACCATAAAGAATCCATTTCAAGTTTTGGCTTTGGAGGTGCTTAGCCAATCTTATGCAGACCTCGTGCCAGTGTGGTCACATTCAGCAAGGCTGGTTACATAGGACATGACGACACTGTAGTTATAGCCAATTACACTGTAGTTATAGCCAATGTATTGACAATAACAATGTAGTTATAACCAATGTATTTTAAAAGACTTTAATGTGTGATCACAGATTATTTTTCTCCTTTGTTTTCTTTGAAAAAGGAAAAGAAGAATTGAACCTGATACTGTCCAAGAGAGAAAAAGGCTAAATGTGCACACCAGATGGTATATACCAACCACACAGACAAGCAGAAGAAGGTATTTGATATATCACTTTCCCACATTTCAGGGAAATTGGGCTGTGAATTCTTGTCCCAGCTTCAGTCTTGCTGTACGAAGGGAGAGATTAGATTAGCCCATAAATTAAATCAGTACGGCTTTCCTTCCCCCTCATCCCACCCCAAAAGGGTAGACTTTCCAGGAATCTCTTGTACTTATGACCAGCTATAGAAGGCAGCTACTTCTGTACATGACACAACCAACTAAACAGCAGCTCCCTCACTTACCTCTTGGGCCTGGAACTTATGGCCCCGATGATAGTGATTTTCATGGCTGGGTTCAACCCTCCTTTGGTTTCCCCAACATATTGTTCCACCTAGTGAAAAAATCCCAACAATATTATCAGTCCATCTATATTTATGGATGCATGTGGTGGTGATGTCTAAGATAAGTTGCAGAGCCATGTGACAAGCTGCATTTATTATCACCTTGAGTTCTCTCACATGCCTTCTATCCAAATAATCTATTTATCCGTTTAAACATCTACCATTTACACACACATACACACACAGGCTTCCTAATTAAATCAATTCAATCTTTATTATACCAAGTAGCTCCCGGATCTGTTGCAGGGGCTTGTGATGATTAACAGGGGCAATGGTTAATGCAGAGGTATAGAACAAAGATTTCCATCAGATATGAACAGAACAAATGGTCTGTGAATTCGTGCTTATAAACTGTTTTGAAAATGTAAAATGCTATAAACAAGCACTATGTAATTGTATCAATTCATTGTGTATACAGGAGTTTGAATCTCCTCAGAGAGAAGGTGTTATAAAAATGTGGGGTGTTATTGGCAGTTCACTTCATTATGTGCATTATTTTCCTATTTGTGTGAAGAATTAAGACTGATTTTAGAGGCAAAAGGGTAACTCCTCCTGGCCTTATTCTGCCAAAAGACCAAAAGCTCTGCCCAAGTGAGGTATTGCAAGGTTTAACTCAGGAGTTCACAACCCCCAGTCTGCAGGCCAAATCAGGCCCCCGACTCTGAGTCATACGGCCTGCAGGGTTCCCCACAGGTCTGAACTTTTGGTAGTGAGGGAGTGGTGGCACTGCTCCCCTGCTGCCACATTTCCGGACCTGTGAGCTGGATAGTATGGCCCTGCATGCTAGATTGGGGTGCACGGGGTGGTGTGGGTCCTGATCCCAGGGAGTGGGGCCAGGAGGAGGTGGCATAGGGCTCCAGGTCCCAATTCCAGAGCGCAAGGGTGATGTAGGGCTTGGATCCATGTGTGCAAGTGGGGAGGGAAGAGCATGGGACCCAATCCTGGCATGGCAGCCCAATCTGACCCACGAAACATTCCCACACCCCTCATCTGACCCACAGTGGAAAAAAGTTCGGCACCACTAGCTCAGCCCAGGAAGAAAGAAATTAAAAGAACAAAGTGGGTTGGTCAATAAATATATGTGACAAACTCCTTTGAGTAGCACAGGTCAAAGCCCATTAAACATTCCATCAGTGTAGCAGTTTGCATAGTCTTTTGTTCTAATAAAGCAATTTCCATTCAGGAGTAAGTATTTCACATTGTGTTTTGAGTTATTTTATAGAGCTAATTGGAAAATTTGACCAGTATTAGATCTGTTGCAAGATTACAGCTGAAAAAGGACTAACTCTGCAACTCCTAAAACATCTGTTCCTTTTCAGGAGGAGTTCCAGTGCTGAGGAATGACTAAAGAAAATGGCGTCCCACATGTTTTGATGAAATGAACGTGGCCCATTGATGTGACTTACAGGAGGTTGCTCTTGGCTGACCTCAGGGGTTGTGATGGTGCATAAAGGAGAGGGCTGTCCCTTAGATATGTAGGGCCCAGAACTTTTATTGTGTATTAACATGTAACACACAGGTACAACAGAGCAGCTCTGAGCTGACTGCTGCACTGCCACCAGTAGTGCAGCCAGCTGCCAGCAATTATTTGGCAGTGGTTATTCCCCACTGCCTCCCCACCAACTAAGGCAGTGCCTGGTGCTGCTGCCCTGATCCCCACTCCTCAGTTACAGTACTGCCTGACTTCAGACTTATATGGTAACCACCTAAGAATACCCAAGTAATGCCTGAGCCTGCACACTTTCCAAAAGCACTTTAAGACCTTCCCATTTTAGTTTAATATTCCACCTGCTTTTATAAATTGGCTTGTTCTTCTTTTGTTCTCTTGTTTTATAAGTTTTTTTTCTCTTACAGTAAGCTGCCCTGGGCCTCTGTTGGGAAGGGTGACATATATCAAATATATAAATAAATGCGAATATGAGATAGAAATGGTGTCTATCTCCCTGGGCCTCATGTGGGAGTGTTCCAAGACTTTTCCTAGAGGCTACTTTGGTTTTCAATCCCCTTGGGAGACGATTCCAGGTGTACTTTTTGGTATTTGGATTAATGTTTCCCTTTCCTGTTAAACAGATATAATTGGACTGTGCATTTTTGTTTGTTTGTCTAATTTTATTTTAAATTAACAAAAATAAAACTTCTACATTAAAAATGTACAGATGTAATAATAATACACAGTTGTTCACCGTAGGAGGCTGAGACCTCAAGAGTATAATTCAGGCTGCCTAGCAGAGGAAGAGTACCTACCTAATGTGAGATTTATTAAACTGCAGAGTAGCAATAGTAGTGGCAAAGTAGCAGAGAGTTTAATGTAGGGCACAAACCAGCACTGACCTTCATCACTGCATAGGTATGTTTTGATTCCATCAACCCTTCTTGCTTTATTTTGTTATAAGCAGCACAACTAAACAATGCTTAGTAATCTGAATGGGGCTGAAAAGATTAATTAGTGCTGGAAAGTCCCTACACCCTGAGAACAGTTGTTCATTTGCATCTGGTTTCCATGTGATTATAACATTCATCCCTCATGCTCTGAATTGTCAGGGGTCTGATCCTTCCTAAGCCATTTTTTGGCTGAGCAGGGCCTGAAGGCACTCTTGGAATCTGCTCATAGATCCAGCGGGAGGTAGCAGCAATAGCTCTGGAAGGGTCTTAATTTGGTCACAGGAGGGCTCAGGAACCTCTGGCAGTTTTGTCTTTTTCATGCACTTACATATGCAAAAAACATATTTCTAGCAACAACAAAATTTCCAGTAAATTATTTCACTTACTTTTGTGCGCTTGTCATTTTCTGTCATGGCTTCTGTCTTTACAGTTGTTTCTTTGCACAGCACCCTAGGAACTATGTTTACTTTTCTTTTTGCATGTGTTTAAGAAAAAAAAGCTAGTGAAAGTCCCAGAAAAAGGGAGGATGTAGTAGGGGGCATTATCTTTGTCAAACACTAGATAGACCCACCCGCCCAAAGAGCTGAGTCACAACAGCTTACTTCTCCTCTTCCACTGATCGGCCAAAGGAAATAGAGAAATTGGAAGGGACTGGATGGCTGAAAAGTTTGGAAACTGATGGATGCTAATAATCAGTTCTAGTCTTCAGCTAGAGTGCTCAACCATCACCCTGAAGTGTGGCCCTATGCTTCTGTGGTGAGCTGCACTGACTTAAAAAAATTCATGCAAGAGCTCAGTACAGTATTAACATTGGTCGTGAATGAAAATCATATGACTGCTTAATGGCTTCTGTATTGGTGGTCCCAATCCAGTTTCTCTTAGGACCTTTTACCATAGGTGCCAACTCTGTGGGTGCTTCAGGGCTCAAGCACCCATGGAAAAAATTAGTGGGTGCTTAGCACCCACGAGCCACATTGGGCAAGACAGGTTGAAGTAATGAACTGTCTCTTCTGGACATGCATGGGGCTCAGCATGGGAACACAAAAAAATAAACCACCCACCACAAAAACCAAAGGCAGTGTCTATGCATCTTACCCATCACAAAAAGCAGCATAAACAATGGCAGTAAGTGGACTCTTTGCTATGAGTTTAAAAAGAAAAAAACAAGGATGGGATGGGTGTGAGGGGCTTCCTATGTCCTTCATGGTTGCATGCAAGGTGATTCATAGTTGAGATGTATCAAAAGTGCAGTGTGCGAGATGTATGTACTGCCACTGCCCAAGCTGTATCTTCAGGGAGTATGCAGAAGATTTAATTCTCCAGGGCTGTCAGTCAATAAAGTTCCTTTGTCCAGCATTAAATTAACATACTATATATTTTTAAAAAGAGTAAATTAGGTCAACTTTTATTTCAAACAGATGGATGGGAATTAATTGGCAAGTCTTCCTGGATGTCACGGTTAGTTTGTTAAGAGAAAGGCCTAGAAAATGCTACCAAAAGTGGAATTTTTTTTTTTACTTATTTTATATTTGACTTGAGTTCTGCACTCTCTGCATAAGTCAATGGTTCTCAACCTTCTTAGACTCAAAGCATCCCTCAGAAAATGCCAGGTCTTAGCTTTCACTCATTTCTCGACCATCGAAAAATAACAAAGCAATTCTTCTGTTGCAAAGACACACCGAAACAGGTCAGAATGTTTTTGACACCATGGACTCCGTTTTGAAATCTCTAGGCTTATCTTGTGAATCACATATAAGTATTTGCACAGCCAACAGTTGTACAGCACGCCATGGCACCCTTAAAAAGGATCTCACGGCACTCTGATTGAGAATCACCCAGGTGTATAGCATGGACAACTCTGATTGCTTTATCACAAATCTTGTAAGTACTGTTTTGCTTGAAGTCCAGCTGTGGTATTTCCTGAAACTCTTGGATTTTTGTAGTTATTAAAATGAAGTTCTTAGCCCTTGTGTTTGTTAAGAAATCTTGTAATACGAATCCTAGAGGATCAACATCCAGAGGACAGTAGATGGAAAATTAAAGAAAGAAAATATATAATGTTATATATTTTTTAAAGTTTCATGAGTTTTGGGGATCACTTCTAGCTCCTGTTTGGAATTGCTGCTTATGTGATTGCGCAAGGTACAAGAAAACCCCCATCCTCTCCTCTGGGAGAAAGGATTCAACAGACATCAGATAGCTCTTAGTAAAGCTGTGGTTTCTTGACTTTTTGAGACTCAAGGTGCTGCAGGGGTGGATCTATAGGCAACGCATGGGTGGGGCATGACGGGGCATATGCCCCCCCCCCCCCAGATTTCTGCACCAACAGCGAGGTGCAAGGCTGTAGCCTGGATGGAACCAGGGCCTGGGAGCAACAGGAGTGGGGGTGTGATTTCTGCCCCTACAACAGGGCATAGGGCGCAAGCCTGCAACCCGAATGGAGCCAGCACCTGGTAACAGAGGGGGCCGCAACAACAGTGTGAAGTTCTGGCCCCCCACTGTCAACACTTAGGCATTATCTATCAGTGGATCCAGGGGGAGGTACAATGATGTAGTTGCATCCCCCTTTGATTCCTGGTTCACCCAAAGTTTAAAGCCAAGTGCCTGGAAGTAGCAGTAACATTTCTAGTCAGACAGTGCTAAGAGAGTCAACTGACTTCATGGCTCATTATAGTCTACTACCCCATCCCTTCTAAACTCTTCATTTCACAGGTGTTAATGACTGTCTCCTTTTTAATGGTCTTGCTGTTCCCCAGTCAAGCTATCCTTTGTTCTGCAGTTCTGCTATCTGTTAGCTGTTTTGGGTAATGATGCTCCTATATCACAGCCCTACAAACTGTTTTTAGCTCATTCTAATTAAGTTACATATTGTTTTGCTTCAATACAGCCCTAGGCTCCTAGCATATGAGTACAACTCCTAGTTCATTTTTAACTGGAGAAAAATGTGTTGTTTCATATGTGATGGTGCATTTCACCACCTGCATCTCCTTTTTCAAAATTTTAGATTTGCCCATAAGAAACTAATTGGAAAATGATGGCTCTTAGTTTTCACTCAATTTTTAACCACAGAAAAATACTAGAACTATTTGTCTGTTGTAAAGAATCCAGAAAGAGCACTGCAGGGCCAGTGGTTTTGACATTCTGGAATCCTATTTGAAATCTCTGTGTTTATCTTGCGATTGATATTTGTGCATCTAGTGGTGCATTTGTGCATCTAACATGGTGCGGCACTCCCTGATGCCCCAGCCCGCGGGATCCAGCATGCACTGTGGGAAAGTAGCAAGGGGCAAGGAGCAGCTGTTGAGGAGGCAGGCAGGAGCATGTGGGAGGGAAGGGTCTCCTGTACCATCTACACTGAGAAACGGAAACTCCAGCCTCAGGGTGGATCCAGAAGGGGCACAGTGGTGCACCTGGACCCTTCTTTGGTTCCTGCTGTACCCAAGCTTTAAAACTAACTGCCTGGGAGGGGCAGTGACATTTCTATTCAGGCAGTACTGCTTCTCATTTGTCATCACTGCTACTGTGTGACACCGGATACTGGGCAAGATGGACCTATGGTCTGACCCAATAAATGGCAGTCCCTATGTTTTTAATTCTTCTCTCTCCCATTCCTGTTAATCTCTCTCCACTCTACAGGAGTTAACCACCCTCTAAATCTTGACGTTTTCCTATTCAAACTATGCTTTCTTCTGCAATCCTGTTGCTGTCCTGTTGGCCAGTCCTGGGAAGGTTTCTCTTCCATGCCACTGCTCTGCAGATTGTTTTCAGCTCTAACGACAAACATGTGTGGTCATATTAATTCAGGTGCAGAAAAGATTGACAGTGAAGTAGCGGAGGCACTGTTAAAACACTCCAGGAGGCTACATTTTGTTTAATGACCCTGAATAAGAGATGCACGTCTAACTATAATGACCGCAGAAGGACTAAAGATACAGTATCTTTTGACTTTTTTTGGCCTAGTTGGTTGGGTTTTTTAAAACTTTATATATACTGTAGTTCAAGGGTGCTCAGCCTCTGGCCTGCCAGCCAAATCCAGCCTGCGGAGCCATGACACGGCTGGCCGGGCTCCCCCATGGGTTGGAAACTGGGCAGCGGGGAGCACTGTAAGCTCTGGGGGGCTGGCTCCAGCCTCGCCACCCATTGCCTGCACAGTGGGATCCCTGCCGCCCTCCACGCATCCCGAATGGGCCAAGCTGCTCCTCCCACCCACTCACCCACACATTTGGATCAGGGTTCCTTTGCCCTCCCTCCCGCCCTTCGGACCCAGACAGGGACCAGAATTGGGACCCAGCTGCCCCCCTCATCCAAAGTGGGGGCACCCTGCCGTGACCCACAAGGGGTGTTTCAGGGTTGGGTTACGCAGCTGACTGGGCCGGTGGACGGGATCCAGCCTGCGGAGGGACCTGGCACAGTCCATCCACTGCCATCCCCCATCTGCCAGTCACCCTCCGTCCTGGGCACAGCTCCTCCGGGCAATGTCTGCCCTAGCAACAGCTGTGCGTGGTTCTGCTTCAGTCTGCAGCTGCCTGGGGGCGAGGGGCGGAGGAGGGGGTCCTCCTTTCTCTTCAGCTGCAGGAACACGTGTACTGGGACCCTCCGCACCCAACCCTGGATCCGCACGGCCCCACGGCGCAGGTGTCCGGGGCAGCGCCCGCGCAGCCCCCGCCCAGCTCGCGGCTTCAGCGGCGCTCCGGGGCTCGGCCGGCAGGGGGCGCTGCTCCGCTTGGTAGTCCGCGTTCTACAAAACAAGGGCGGGGCTTCAACGCCCTCAAGAAAGATGGCGCCTCATTTGCATCTCCCAGCCGTCGGACCAATAGGCGCTTCTCCTTCAGGGGGTTTCGGCGAGCGGGTCGGTCACGTGAATAGTGTTTCAAGATGGCGCTAGTGGCGGGCGGAGTGTCAGCGGCGCGGACCGTTCCATAGCCCCGGGTGCGGAGGGGGAGCCGGGCCGTGTCACCGCCGCCGGGCAGGCAGGATCGTCCCTGTGTCAGGGGGTGGTTACCGCACCTGGGTGTTGGCTGCAGGCAGGGTGGGGGCGCCAGTGCTCCTGTGGGACCAGAGCCTGTGGGACTGGCCCCTCCGCTCGGGGTGGCATGCATCCTGAATTGGGCATCAGGAAAGGAATTTACCCCAGCGTCAGACCGGTCTGGATGGGTAGCCCTCTAGCCTAGGTAGATGGCCCTCTGCCCTGCCCCAGGGATCTCCAGCATCCATCGGTGAGGTTTCATCGGGGCCGCGGTTGTCTGCGGTGGTTCCCCTGCTTTACCCCACTAGGTTCGGGTGCCAGGCGTGCATTGTCAGGCAGTCTGACGTAGAGCTTAGATCAGTGATCACCAACCATCAGTGAAGATCACTTTTTGTGGGGTAAGGGGCACCCCAGGATCTGCCTCGCCCTCCCGCTCCACATGCCCCT